CAGTCCTTAAATGTAGGGATCATTTGTGCTTAGGGTATTTGGGGGAAGAAGAAAGAATATTTACTCGTGTTCTAGCCTACAGTCTGTCATCTATGGAACTGTTATTTTATGTGTTTGCTCTGTTTTGCAAGTGAAAAGGCTTGAAAAAAGTTGTCACAGGTTGGGTCATGGTTTGGTGTGCAGATATTACTATAAACATCAGCTTCTTGATATGAAAAATAAAGGTCAACTTTTAATACCCTTATTTATATGGATTACCGCAGGACTCCCTCATTTGCACTGTTAAAACTAATGGACCCACTAGAGGAAAATGGAGCTACTTGAGCTGTTAAAATCTAAATACACAAAAAATGTAGTTTATTGTTAGTGTAAAAGTAGTGATTATTTGTTCAATCCCCTTTTAACAGAAATAACTAAAAAAAAAAAAACAAAACCAAAACCAAAACAAACAAACAAAAAAAACCAGAACAACTCATAAGATTTTCCTTCTTCTGCAGAGAAACTAGGCAGCTCTCTTTTTAAAGAATCTTACCAGTGTAACATTTGAAACAGTGAATGTTCATGTTAAAATATCATTGTGTCAGAGCAAGGGATGTGTCAAAATATTTATACATGTTATCTTAATGTAACTATAACAGAAGAAAATAACATACATTTGGACAGAGAGGGTCCCCAACTTTATTTGAGGGTCCCCAACTTCATTTGGCTTTTGTTTGTAATTGTTGAGAATTATTTCTGCCATTAGTAAAACTGTATTTAAACCATTCACAGAAATGCTGAAGGAATGGCCAGTTGGCCTCTTGTAGTCTGCCCCACACAGCCTGGAAAACTGATAAAGCCATTTATGTTGAAACAGCCATATTCAAAGCAACATTGTGCTTGGTTAAAAAAGAATGCTGCCACTAATAAAAAGGTCAAGGATGAATGGAAAACTTTGACCATATCGCATTGGAAATGCTCATGTTTTCTCATTTAAATATGACTAGGTGGTAAGTGGGGTCTTAGAACTAAGTAAAAGCATGATTTCTTGCATTGGCTGCATATTCCTGTGTGAACTGTTCATGGTATTGTAGTAGTCATGCATTACACATCTGATTTTTTGTTGCTTTTTTTAAGATTTTTTCCCCCCATTATCTTAAATTTTAATGCCTATAAATAGGTATTTAATCTGTTATAGTAAGGACATTTTAACCAAACACACAAAGCACAGTGTGTTGAATAATCTGCAATAAAATTTTGACTGTGCTAATGGGCTGGCATGGAAATGCATACAGGGAGAATGTCCTTTACCTTGTTATTAAATGCACACATTTCAAAAATAGATTCAGATTTTGTCCCTTCTGGATAGTAAGCAGCTGGAATAGTGGTCCAGGCTGAGTTTCTGGTTTAGCTGCTGGACAGTAAGATTTTCAATTTCAGTCATCTTTGGAGGGAAATACCTTGCAACTTGAAACATATTTAAATCTGACTCAGAACAGCAAAGGAGAAGGCTAGAGATATAAAATCATACATTTTGTTTCTTTGGCAGTCAGATTCATCTCTAATTTTGTATCATAATCTGTTTCCAAATTTTTTTTTATTCATTTCAGTTATTAATGGTGGCTAGTCTTGAAATGCCACCACTGCGGTAGGCAAATAAAAACCTTTGGACTCCAGATCTTCCATTGAGGATATCTGATGTGTTAATGCAAAAGGAGAAGCAACCAGCTTGTAGGGAAGACAACACACAAAGTCTACTGAGGATATCTGGACCATAAAGATATACTTCCTGTTGGGATAGGAGGTTACCTACATGCAGCTTTTGAATGTCTACGCAGACAAATTTGTGATGATCGGGCCTGCATCTGATGTATGGAATATTTGCACTTTTGGTTATGTGGTGGATGCTGAAACACAGAGATAATGTGAATTCCTCCATGAAAGACCAGATGATCCACTAAGAAAATTAAAATCTTCATGACTTTGCTGTAACCTTTAGTTTTGAACAGATAGAATATTGCAGTAACAAACTGCCACTCAAATCTAGACAACAGAATGAACGTTTGTCTTGTTCCTCTGTATTTTGATCTGTTTGTTTTGCCATGAATGTGAGTTTAATATAATCTTGGAATGAAAAAGGAAACTACTAATTGCAGATATATAGTAGTAAAAATATCTATTTTGATTGGGTAGCTATAAAATTCATTGCATATAAAACTTCATTTTTGCTGCATTTTATTTGTAGAAATTATTTCCTTTCTTGTAGGTAATTGTAGACAACTGATTTATATTTTCTCTAGTTGAGTTCTGCTTTTATTGGATGAAATACTTTACTAATTTACCCTGGACTGGTCTACAGTTTTTCCATTTGCCCATTTAAACCCTTGAATGCCTTTCAGTTTTTGCAGTTCTCCTGTTAAACCACCTACCACTCTTTTTAACCATTTCTGATTTCAAAAAGTATGGGGCCAAACAGCCATCCTTGCTGGGTTTCTGAAAGTACCAGTTTACTCACAAAACTGGTAATATAAGATACTCATTTAGTTGAACGGATCTCATTCTTTTGGAGAGCATCATTTTGCATTAATTTCATGATGTTTGTGATATTCACAGAGCTTAAATTTATCTCATCTCTGTTCCGGACATTTCAGACTTTGGGCAAGGAAATGAAATGTGAGTGTGCTTCCTAACGGAGTTGGGACTTTAAAAGTCTTGCATTAGCAGTGAAGGAGTTTTGTGCTGCACCACGTACGCATCTGGAGAAGTGAGAGGACAGGTTATCAGGAGAAAGAACATTCAGTCATTTCTATTTGCTCCACAGATTCTTCTTTGTCTTTGGCTAAAACAATAGATTTAGTGTTCCTTGCTGAGAAGTGAGCCTAGTGGGTACGTTTCTTGTACTGTAAGAGGATGTTGGTTTCTTGAGAACAAAGTCCTTCCAAATTATTTAAGATGCTTTTATATTGTGGCCTTCAAATGTGTAAAATGCCACGTGACATAATGTTCTTCATTAAGGAAATGTATTATGGAAAATTCATGTGTTAAATTAGAAAAATATTAGAAAATGGTTTCTCATCTTTGTTACGATTTCTACCAAGTTTTAAGAAAAGTTCAAAGCAGTTTCCAGAATATATCAAAGTTAAGAAAATCTTCCTTTTCTAAAAGAAAATAATTCAGCATTGTACCAAGTTCATCTGAGCTATCTTTTTTCTGTGTGGCATCTGAATCTATATTGAATATGTGTGGCTGGGATGAAAATTTGTTCAGGGTTTAACTGCTGAAATGATGAAGTTAAAGATTTTGTTCCGTGTCACCTCTCCGTCTGGGCTTACGTAATTTTCTCCATAACTACTATGTTGGCAGGGGTGCTGTTGCTTCTCAGATGCTACAGCATCATCTTAGTGAATAAATACATTTTCAGCTTCAGTAGCAAATGCTACCTTCTTCACCAGTGGCACCAATAGTACTGTGCAGATCACATATTGCTGTGCTTGATGACGATTGGTTGCCACTGCCTTCTGTGCAGTTCACAGCCCTTAGTTACCACACTTGCTCATGGTTAGTGAGCACTTTCTGCTATATTGCACAAGCTATTCATAATTCCTTCACTTCATGACTGAAGCTAAAATTTATGTATGACATTGCTGCCAGTGGTTAATGCTTTCTAATCCATCTTTCTTGAGACCTTGTTTCACCTGAGTCTTTTCCCAACATGTGTTTCTTCTGCACTGTAAATGGGTAATTCTCAGCTCATATTACTAGGAATATTATCGTGCCCTGTGGGTAGAATGCTTTTTGATAGAACTATTAATTTCTCTCTTAATTCTTAAATATAATGCTGCTCTTATTCTAAGTCTTTATTTAGAAGAAAATATGTTTTATGCCACTGAATATATGCACTGTCATTACTAGGCTTTTAGTGAACAAAAAAGCTTGATTTTTTTTTGCCCCGATTTTTTAGCATTTCAGATTTGATATCGTTAAAAATTGTAATTAGAGTAATTAGAATAATTTTGGAAAGAGAACTGTGTAAGAAATTCCTGTGGTTGATTTTTTTAAGGGCAAACAGAAGGATTTGTTCCTTTTTAGCTAAATCCAGCAAATATCTGTGGTTGTGAGGATGAGACAGAAAATTTCCTGTGTGGCCCAACTTTTGGGTGATACTGCAAAACAGAAGAAATTTGGACTCTGTTGACTGCTTTTTGATTATGTCTATTGTAAGAGATGTTATCTCTTGGCAAAGGAGATGAACTGTTTTCTTCACTTTTTATTATATTATGTAACTTCCTTCTATTTTGACTACAAAATACATTTTCTCATACGCGTAATCCTAGTACATATATTTCAGCATACACTACTTGTTCTGATGTAAACTCATCTGTTTCCTCATTCTTGTCGATATTAGTCTAAAAAGTAACATCTGCTTTTGTATATGAGAAGCAATAATAACCATCACTCTCTAAGAAAAGTATGTAATCTGAAGAGCAGTAAATGAGCACGGATGGATAGTAAGCTTTGTTTAACTGTGAAGCGTATTCAAATGTTTTTCTTGTTTCTAAGTCATTATTGGCCTAACTTTTCAAATTTTAAAGTTATGCTGTTTTCCATTAGCCTAAGATCTATCCAGGAATTATTTGTCCTTGCCTGTATTTTCTCTCAAGATGCTACCTGTAATGCCTTTACTTGAGTCACTTAAGAAATCTGCAAATGCTTGACACATTCATCAAATTAATGTTGAAGTGGCTTGTTTCTGACAAGCACAACCCTTGATGAGGAGTATCTCAGGCATGAAACACAATAGTAAGAACCCTGGAGAGGACTGGCCTTAAATAAAAGAGTCCCTGTGAAGCACTGAAGCTGAGAATTTCAAGGAGTAATACACATTTTAGAAAATAGAAGATCTATATTGTCTCTTTAGAATAACAGATTAATTATCTAATGCTTTCCATTGTTACCTGTTTCCGATTCTTCTCATGTTAGGACAATAGCCTACACTTTCTCATTGCGTTGTTTCTTTGCAGGAATCGGAGAGTAATAAGTTATGTTCCCTATATTCCTTCCGAAATACCTCTACCTCACCACACAAGCCTGACGAAGGAAGTCGTGACCGGAGTGAGCTAATGACCAGTGTTAATTTTGGAACGCCAGAACGCCGCAAAGGAAGCCTTGCAGATGTGGTGGACACACTGAAGCAGAAGAAACTAGAAGAAATGACCAGGACTGAGCAAGAAGGTATGTGGTGAATATGACTGACATTGTTTTCCCACCCCCTACAGATTTTATGGTATAAAGAATGTGTTGGGTATCAAGAGCCAGAAAATTGCATAATTGGCAAAGGCTAGGATAAAGTTATTCACAGGTTACCATGGCAATGGTAGTTTGAGATCCATTAGGGATTTAAGACAAATACGTCTGTTTTATAAAACTTTCTAAATTGCGTTGGTTGTCTGTGAGTAAAAGCAAGAATGTTGGTTTAGTTGAAAACTCATTCTTACTTGAGAAGTTATGATGAATTTTTAACTGCTTGTAGAGTCGTGAGGGATGTTCTTCAGTGGAATTTGTTCTTTTTCTTTTAAAAGACGAATGTTTATTTTAAACAATAGGAACAAATAAAACATAAGCTATTTTATTTTGCTTTAGAAAGACTCATGTTTCATCACCTTAATGACCCAGTATCTCTGGCTAGGAGAATGGGAAACAGCTTTAAGTGTTCTAGTTCTGACCTATATATCTAGATAAGCAGCTGAAGAAATCTTTTTTTTTTTTTTTTTTTTTTTTAACAGTCTGCTCAGATATTGTTACATGTGTTAAAAAAGAGATAAAAATGAGGACAAATCTTGAAGCTGCAAGGCAGTTTATATATTCAATCCTTACTCAGATATTTTCATTGGCTATGTGAGGGCTTTCTTCTTTGATGGTTACTAAAGTGAACTGGAGAATGAATTTATCTGTATATACATGCACAAGGTCAGGGTCAAACAAGACATTCTTTCACAATGTCAAGTAGAATGAAGTCTTGTTTACTTCTGTAACAGCATCTTATGGTCTGTAAGCTCATACACAAATTTGAACCAGGGAAGGTGTGGGAGCAGAAGGCTTTGAAACAGATATAGAAATATGAGGATATGTCTATTCTTTTGCCAGTGTTGTTTTGTGGCATTAAAAATAACCCAGGAGGAATATTTGTAGTGCAATAGATCCCAAGGTAGTAGAAGTTTGTGATCTCTGTTTTTCTTTGAAATATGAATGAGTTCAAAATGGTTTTTGCTCCTGACTTTCATGATGTGGTCACAGTCTTCCAGCAGTGTATGTTAGGATCCCTTGGCTCCATTTAGTAAAGTGGATTTCAATTAAAATTGATGCTGAAACAATAATAAGTATAAATATGGAATAAAATCATGTAGAGATGGAAGTAGGCTTTCAAATTTCTTGGCACAATTGTTAAATGCCAGCACATAGATGAATGTGTTCTATAGGTGTCCTTTCTGAAGCTGGTGAAACATCTCTAAGGAGAGAATGTCCCAGATTCTTTACTACCATCTGTCTGTTTTCAGCTGTAAAGATCACTCTTTTAAAAATTGCTTTCTTAGATTTGGTGGTTAGACTACGAAAACTATTTTAAATGTTAGTTTGGCAAAGTTGTTTTTTACAGTCAGTAACAGTCGTTCAACACTCCATGCTAATCAAAGGTCTTGGCTCATACTCTGCTGCGGGTATATACGAGTTGCTGTTGATTGTAGTGACACCACAGCTAAGACTTCTCCTGGAGTATGCTGAATGGTGTGCTAATAAAAATGTACATCAGAGGGTTTAAACAGTTTGAAATCATATCTGAGGGACTCAAGCATTTTGTAGCTTATTTTTCTGTGAATTCTTGAGAGCTTTCTATGCTTCCTCAGTACTGGTATACACTGGCTGATTTAAGATTGGTATATACACAGCAAAGAGATTCCCCTCACCAAGTCTGAGCCTCTTGTACTAAATATTCTCACCAGCTGTGAAAAAGGTCATTTGTGATCTGTGAAATAATCTTGCCTTTTTTGGAGCAGAGTATGCTGGAAAATTATTGTAAAGTCTCCCTATAAGTTCAAAGATCTCCATGTTAAGTTCTTTTCATTGCACCTAGCATGTTCTTTAGAAAAAAATAGATGAACATTCATCTTACAGAAAATTATTGAACATCTGACTGGTATCATCCAAGCCAATGAGGAAAAATAAATAGTAGAAAGATTGGAATTTCTTCAGAATTTTACACTAGGTAAAATGTGTTAGGTAAAATAGGTAAAATGGTGTTACAGTTTTGTGCTTACTAGAAATATCAAAATTTTTATCTGTAACTATTTTTATATTCAGAAGTTTTTCTGAACTAAAACGAAGCAAGCTCTCCATATGTACTTGATTTGAACAAAACAAAGTTTTAAAAATAATTACTATTTTAAGACTCTGCTCTTTGTTGCAACTGTGAGTACTGCAATTGATTCTGCCTTGAGTTGGAGGAATGAGGTTTGAACTTAGAAATATGTTTTGCCGTCTAACAGTCTGTTTTAAACCACATTGCCTAATCACGCATATATAATATGATGATCTTTAACACCTATCATTTAAAATGGGTTTGTTTGAAGTACTCTTCTTCAAATGCTATGCAGCCAGTGCTGTTGAGGAGTCTTGATCTGTCACAAAATCGCTTTCCAAAATTAAAAAAGACTTTCAGAGCAAATAGAGATTTTTTGAGATAACAGAATGCAATTGATTCAATCAATGTTATGGGAAACAAGTACCTATTCCTGCGGTATGCTTCTGTTAGTTTTGTGGGGCTTGAGATCGTGCGTCATTCCTTTGAATAAAAGGATAGTTTGTGTTAGCATTTTGTAGGGAGGAGCTCCACGAACATTGGCGTAGCTGTGGGAAATGAGCAAACATGAGGTCGTATGTCAATTTGATTGTACACTTTGAAGTGGAAGAAGAAGTCAAGAATTGTAGTCATCTGCTCTAACCCCTACAAGAGCACAGCAGCAAGTCTCTTTCAATCATAGTTATGGAAGTTTCTAGTCCATCTGTAAGGTCTGAATATAATATGAATTGCTAGTGAAACAAGCAAACTGTGGTACACCTTTAGATACTACGGGTCTCTTATGCTCTCTGTTCTACCTCATAACGTTGGAGAAAGAAATACATACTGAAAGACTTTATCCTGTCTAAACAGATATATTTAATCAGAGTCCTTTAGCTTCTGAAAATAAGTTGTCTAATGAGAATTTTATCTGAGCAGCTGTGACTGAGGAGGTCAACAGGCATTGCCTAAGAGAATATGGCCCAGCTGGTTAAATCTGGTTGTTGTAGTGATTTAAATGGTCAAGTGCTGCTTATAATCCAGGACCGTCTGTTTGTAAAGGAAAGAGTGAGTGCTTCAGCATAATGTACAGCTGTTTTAATCTCTCTTTAATAATAGTGCTTCAGCCAGTGTCATGTCTTGTGGGTAATAATGTGAATATGGGCGCCTCACACGAGCTGTGTATACCTTAGGTCAATTTTTAGCATTTGTTGTAGTTTGAACAGAAACCATCTACATCTCAGGATAAACGATATTTTTATGGCCTAGTGCACTAAGGGAATACCAAATCCTAATATGTAATTACTTGGAAATTAGAAAGTTGATAAGAAAATAGTAACTATTAGAAAAAAGCAAAACAAAACAAAACATAATAGAGTTAATTTGAGTATGTAAAGGCTTTTCTGGCATATTCTCATCAAATAGGAGAAGTCAGCAATAAACAGGTATTTAATTTAATCAGCTACACTGGACTCTAGAACCTATGGGATAACTTCAGTATATACATCTCAGTAGCAGAAATAATAAGCAGAAGGATTGTTTTGCTGGCCTTTTTTCCTTGAAAGTATTCTCCAGTAAAATTAAGCATTAAATCTCTTTACAGCCCAAAGAAGAGTGTGTATTAGGTAGCATGGTCAGACCACTGCTCTCCCTTTCTCTGCCCTTCTTTCGGAATCTTGCTTATATTACTTTTGCAAGACAGATTTACATTGCCTAGTCTGCCTGGACTCAGGCTAAGAATTGGCTTCCAGACAAGTATCCTACTGTACTTCAACATAAGCCTCTATGAGCAATAATTAGTAGTACACATCTTGTCTGTAGCTAGGAGAGCAGATTTCCCCCTTTCAGATCTGGAATGCTAGGTTGGCAGGTCAGCTGGCACTTCTGGGCTGGAAACTGGGCATGTCATTTCTGCTAAGTGCTAAGCCCTCATTACTCAGGCCTGGATTCCTAATTCACTTTTGACCTTGATTCTCTGCAATGTATACAGTATCGTTTTTCAACCAAGCTCAGCTCAGAATTCTGGCACAAGCTTTTTATAAACTGCTTCCCATTCTTGTTTCCTCCTTGAAGACCATAGCTGAACATCCAGAGATCAAAGATATTTACGTATGCATGTTGGAATAATGAACATCTATATAAAGAGCAGTATATTCATAAATTCCCATCTATTCTGTGTCATGTGCACCTGTTTGTACTGTCTCTCAGTGGATGGATATATGTAACTCGTTGAGATATATAATACATCTGAAGATGACTAAAATAAAAATTAAAGATTCATATGCAATATTAATTTTATATGCAATAGGGAAAACCATATAACACTACACTGTAGCAGTGGTTTTAGGACTTTCTAGTTTTACGTGGTTTGTTGCTTTCTACTTTGATCTTCATTAGCTAATAATAATCAACAACTTACTTTTACATTGACATAAACTAGATTTACACTTCCCAAAGAAAAATCTTTATTTTGTTCCAGTAAGGAATAAAGTCCAGTATACTTAAGTATTGCACACAGAAATATATACACATTTCTCCATTGAGAAATAAAGAAAATTAACTTTCTGCTTTATTTATTTGCTTATTCTGCTAAACTCCCAACCAGCTTCCAAAAAATCACTGCCCAGAAGTCCACACAATGAATAGATGACTCAGATCAAGTTAGAGGAGAGAGATGTGGCACATTTTCCTAAACGGCTGCTTTTGCTTACCTCTTTTCCATATAATTATATGCAACTCCCTCTCTCTCTTTTTTTCATTCAGTGATGTTTGTAAAATCACGCTTGTCCCTTCTTTTTCATGCAATACGTGGTTCTGTTTTAGAAAAAATGTATTTTGTTCTTACAATATTTAGGGAAGCTTTATGGATTTAAAATTTTCTGGTAGTTCATTTATTGAAATG